GGAATTAAATCACACAAATTATTTAAATAGCCCTTTCGAATACAGTTTAATTCATCATCCAAGTAATAATTCTCTTTAATAACCAAATTTAATAAATTAGTAGATAAACTTTGATCTAAACTATCCCAAATTAATTCTAAATTAGTTCTACTGAACTTTAATCGCTCTAGTTTGTTAATTAATTGGAGAGTTAAAGATTGAATATAAGTCAACTTTAAATCGTCAATATTCAATCCACTAACAATATTATCCTAAACTTATATTAATAAATGATATATTAAATATTATGCAATAATTTACATCAATTAACTCTACCAACTTATTTACCAAATTGCCATGTCCTTGTAAATTGAAGCTAACTTTATCAGCTAACTTAGTTAATAGAATTAACAAGTTAGATATTAAACTTAAGTTATCACTAGTGATGGAAGGGAATTGAGTAATCAGTTTATCAGCTAATAACTGGGAGTTATTAAACTTAATTTGATCTGTAGATGTTAAGGAATAAGCTAATTTGGTCAAGTTAGATTCATTGTTATCTAAATTATGGCACGTTAGCTAATACTAAATTTATATATAATATTTAATTACCGTTGAGTTCTTTAGTTAAATAATTTTCAATTAAATTCAATTCAAACTTGTTTGAATATTCGGAATTGTTGAATACATTATTAAACACATTTAATAATGAAATACCAATAAATTCATCTTTTTCTAAAACATTCTCTAATTCATTACCAATTAAGTTCAACTCTTCATTACTAGTAAATAATTCGGCTTTAAACAGATTTAAGTAACATTCCCAAATAGTTAAAATTGAACTAGTAATAACTAAACCAATTTGTTTTAATCTCAAATAGCTTTCAAATAAAACAGTTGCCAATTTAGTATTAATTTCGTTAAAGTTGCCACTGACCAATTTGACAATAATTTGATCAATTTGTTGAGAACTTTGAATTATTGAAGGTGATGTTTTAGCCAAGAGTAAACAATTGATCAATAAAATTAATTGATCTAATTCAATTGTGAAATCTTTGGAATTTAATAAATTCAAATAATTTACTAAAAAGTTGATAAATTGATCTAAATTATAGAATTTATCAGATTGAGTGGTGGTGGTGGTGGTGGTGATTTGGTCTGATTTAGTTAATAAGTATAATCCTAATAAGTTATCGAAACCCTTAAAAGTATCCAATTTGTTGTTGCTATCAATTTCACTGGTATTTACTATAGATTCTAATTCACTTTGGGCGGGAATTAACTTCATATACAAGTTACTATCAGTAGGAATATGCTCAGATTGATTAATTAACCTAATCAAGCTATAAAGTCTTTGAGCAGCTTCCAAGTTAACAAGTTCTCCAGTTGGCAAGTTTAATAAGCTTTGTTGATAGCTAGATACTAATCTATCTCCATATTCGATCAAACTATTACCAGTTTGTAAAAAGTGTTCAGTCAGAGCTTCTAATATTAAATTAGATTTATCGCTTAATTGTTCCAAATTATGTAATTCCAATAAGTTTAATTTAACAATTATATCCAAAATTGAAGTTTCTTCACTAGTTAATAAATTTAACCAATCAGATGAATGATCAGATGATAATTTAATAGCTGCAATGATGTCCAATAAATTAGTTAATTTAAGAGTATTGGATTCATTATTAACATCTAATTCAGTTAAATTAGAGTTAATTAAATTGTAAATAATTTGGAGTTGGTGGTGGTGGTAGTTGGTATTAATTAAAATTTCTATAAATCATATGAAATTAGTAAAGTATTATTTGATGCTGATTTAGTTTACCTGAATTAGAGAGTGCTAATACAGTTAAATTGATTAATAGTTGGGTATTTTCATTATTATCGGAAGTTAATAAATCAATATTTTCGTTGAATAAATCAAGGATTTTAGCTTGTAATTTATCGAGTGGTAAGTAATCAGCATTAAACTAAAAAATTATAAGTTAATTAAAAATTATAATAATTATTTAAATTTACCTTTTCTACCAATTTAGCTAAATTAATTAAAATTAGATTAATATCTAATTTATAGACTTCTTCCAATATCTTATCGATCAATTCCTCACAATAAGCTTTATCCAATACGCCAGTATTAAATCCAGTTAAGATTAATTCAATAATTTCTTCAGAATATTTAATCATGTACTCAGATAAATAAGGACCAATTAATTCCAAAATGGTTTTAGAATATGAAGCATTGGATTTGATTAAGGTTTGGGATAAAATAGCAAAGTTATTGAACTCTCCAGAGGAAGTGAATGCATTTGTATTGAATTTGAGTTTGTAATTATCGAGAAGAGTATTGATTAAGGATTGAGTGAAATTAGCTATAGGTTCACTAGTCTCAGAGGAAGTTAATTGATTAATAAATTCGGAAACTTTTTCAGCTAAACTTTCGTCAAATTCTAACTCTTCAAATTTAACTTGCTCGCCATTGAGTAACCCAGTAATAAAGCTTTCAATTTCATTTAACAATCCCTGAATTAAATTGGAATCCAAATTATACTTTGTTAATAAATTGTTCAAATCAACCAAGTATTTAGCACTTAATTTAGTGCAGTTAGGATAGTATCGGTTTGAGAATGAAACTTTGATTAAGTTTAAACTTAAATCAGCTAAAAGCTTGTCTTGAACTGAGGAGTCTAATTTGCCTTCTGATTGTTTTAAGTTCGTTGATAAAGCGTGGAGCAATAACTCAGTTATTGTAGTTATTACTAACTGTTTTTGATCGTTGTTACCAGGTTGCTTATTATACCCAGAGTAAATAGAATCAAATAAATTTTGATAAAATTCTTCAACAGGTGACTTAATCTAAACAAAAAGTTAATAAAAACATTTTTAAGTTATTTGATTAATTACTTGATTAGGTAAATTATCAACTAAAACAATTAATGCAGGCAAAACAATATTATGAGAACCATAGCACTTATTCTTTAAATATTGTAATAGTTTTGGTAATTGAGGTTTTTTTGTTTTTAACCAAATATCAGGCAATTCTAAATTATGAATCAATAAATATATAA